TTCTTAAACTTTTTATTGCGATTTGGGTGAAAATTTACAGAGCAAATTCGTTTCACATTCAACAGTTCATATGCATTTTGTTTTGTGACATAAATTAAAATCCCCACAATGTAACAGCTCTCTTTCCACTTCCTCCCTGTGGTTACCGTTCCCTGCGTCCTTCTCACCTATGAATTCCTGCCTGAGCTAGTGCTGCCCTTCTGATCTCTCATGGTTGGTTGTTCTAAGGCATGTACCTCCCCAGTGTAATTGCTCACCTCATAGGCTTACTGTTTGGCTGAAAGTTAAGCCATGGGAATGAATTCAACTCCAGGCCAGGCCCAAAGGGTGTCTAGGATCCCTAGTCTCCAGGGTTTCAACAGTCTGTATGAGACCAGTATGTCTGGTCTTTTTCTGTTTTGAGTTTGTTTCACATTATTCTTGCACTCTATCCACTACCTCCAATTTTGATCTCTTTCTAACTGATTGGCAATGTTAGCCAGGCACCATCTAATGCTTCTGGTCTCAGGGTCCACCAATCTCTTGGACTAATTGTTTCCATGTATCTTTGATTTTCTTTAATCTGCTTTGCTCTGGACTAGGAGAGACAAATTGTTGTATCTTATATGGCCACCTGCAAGATTTTAAGATCCCAGTTGGTTGCTAATCACAAAAGTAGGATGTAGAACAAAGTTTTTGCATAGTATGTTATGCTAATTGATCTTGATGTCTCCCTGGACCATGGTCCCGAGCCCAGTGATTCACTCTCTCAAGGTGTTTGCCCTGTTAGTGCCACTACATATATGGATATGTTACAGCCCATACAAATACAAATGTTGAAGTATCATCTGCCAAACCTATCTAAGGCCCCATTCACCTATCCATACCTAATCTTCTTGCCTGTCTACCCATGTATCCACCCATTTACTAATGTTTGTTATTATTGATAATGCAGTATTTATCTTTTTTGTCTGTACCTCTAGTGTACTTCTCTGTGCCTCCTTTTTCCTAAGTGATACTGTGCTGGTCACCTGCTTTTGGTATCTTGCTTTCCCTTTACTCAAATCATTACATATCTCTTACCTAACTACCATGCATACCTCCCATCCCTGGTAACCAACAAAGAAAGTTTCTTCCTGTGTGTAAATCTTTCCTTGACTTTTTGTAATAGTGGACTCATACTTTTTTTGTCCTTGTGTGATTGACTTATTTTACTCAACACAATGTCCTCCAAGTTCATCCATGTTATGATGTAGTCCATGGATTCTTTATTATTTTTTAATGTTACATAGTATTCCCATATTTGCTCTTTAAAAAGAGGAAATCTGCCAATATTTTCAAGTCAAGAAAAGGGTAAGAACAAGGATAAGGTGTCCTGGGGACTCTTTTTCTTGGCCCACTGACCATTACTATTTTTAGCTGACCATCCTGATCTTGCCTTCCCATGCAAGATGCCATCCTTCTGAAATCTCCTTATATCTTCAGTGTACTTTCCTTTTTTTAAAATAAGGAATGCTCTAAAAATTATGAGCATGGTGGGAAAATCACTAACTAGAAAGTTTGTTGTTGTTGTTGTTGTTATGTGCTGTCGAGTCAGACCCAACTCCTAGCAACCCCTCCTTGGGTTTCCGAGGCAGTATCACTACAGAAGTAGATTGCCCCATCTTCCTTCCTAGGAGTGGCTGGTGGGTTTGAACCGCCAGCCTTCTGGTTAGCAGTGGAGTGCCTTAGGCACTATGCTAACAAGAGAGTAGACGTGTATTAATTCGGGTGAAGGGAAAGGGAATAAGCAATAAGGAGGAGGTCAGCACAAAATAACCAAGGCAAAGGAAGATACTTAGAGGTGTACAAGAATTAAAGGCAATGAAGGTAAATAGTGTTACATACACAATTCTGCAATAACAGTAATAACAATAATCTATCAGTGGATACATAGACATGCAGCTGAACAGGTGTGGGAAGGTGAATGGGACTACAATCAAGAATGTATATATGTTTGACAGAGGATTTTTGAATATACATATTTGTATGTGTTGCAAATATATCTATGTATATAGTAGAACATAAAAAGGGCAAAGTTATGAAAACTTAGCCATAACCAAACACCTTGAGGTAATGAGTTCCTGAGCCTGGGGGCTCAGGACCATAGTCTCAGGGGACATCAAGGTAAATTGGCATGACATAGTCTACAAAGAGGAGCTCTGGTAGCGTAGTGTCTAAGGCACTTGACTGCTAACCAGAAGGCTGGTGGTTCAAACCCACCAG